CTTGCTTGATGAGTAATCGGATCAGGATGGGACATGTGGAAGAGGAAGAGTCGAGTAGGAGGAGGAGGAGGAGGAGGAGGAGGAGGGGCAGTCGATGAGGAGGAAGAAGAGCAGGGGGAGGTGGACGGGGAGCTGGAGGAAGAGGAGGAGGGAGAAACATGAGAGAAGAGATGAGGATAGAGTTGGAGGAAGAGGAGGAGGAGGGTAAGGTGGAGGTAGGAGGAGGGCCGTCTTGTCAGGGGCATCCTGGGCAGTTTTGGTAGTCTCTGTGGGCCATCTTGGGTCCCCTTCCCTGGGCTTTTCGGAACCCCTCTTGGATCCATCTTTAGCCGACCATGCTGAGAACATTTCCTGGGGCTCGTTGGGCAATCTTCGGCTGTCTTGGAGTTGTCTAGAGGCCAAAAGGGCGCCTCTAGCGTCCAGATGCTCCTGTGCGGGTCCAAACGCATGTCGCCCCAGAGAGGTTTGTTGGTGACACTTCTCGTCCTGGCGCACTTCGGAAGGAACCGCTCCCTGAGGTCAGCGCTTGGGGGCAGGTCGCGGCAGGATTGGTTTTGCCGCTCGAGTCGCTGGTCTGGCCAGACGCACTGAGTTGTTGTTCGTGTCTGGGCAGGCTCGGGGGAGGCGAAGAGCAGATGGGCGTGGTTGGCCAGGTTCAGGCGCTTTTCCTAGCCTCCTGCGTTTTTTCTGACTCGAGCCGAAAAGCGTAACTGATTTCCCGCACATTGTTGAATCGGCATACATTGTTGAACGCATCGGAGGCGGTGAGGTGAGTTTGATTTTGCAGGGCCAGCGGTCGGAAACGGCTATTTCGAGGATGTAATTGTTCAGCGCTGCCACCGCTGCCGTGGGAAGGGTAGAGAGCTGTCAGTTTTTGTTGGTCGGGACTGCGATGGCTGGGCGGGGCGAGGGCGAGGTGCAATCATTCCAGAGCCTCCCGGAACGTTCTCAGCGTTCCGGCTTTCTGGAACGGCCGCCGGGCCCGATCTGTCCGCCAGAGCCGCCGGAACTCAGAGATCTCCGATGTATCCCTGCGGGATGTCGTCTTGGCCTCGGGTTTGCCTTGGATTGGCATGAGGGCAACCTCACGTTTCGATATCGCCGTGGTGGTGATGGTTATCTGCCATGTTTTGTTCGAATCCAGCCCACGGATGCCACATGTCCAGATGCCCCGAGAGTTCGAAAACAGAACGCCGCGGTTCCCCGCGAGGGCGATGCCCCAATCATGTATGTTGTCAGAGATGATTGGGCATTCTTCATTGCGATCAACGCGGCGTAACTCACTTGAGCGATATGTCCAAACCTTATCGACATGGGAAACAGTTTCCTTGCAATTGGATTGCCTCGCCGGTTTCGAGCACAGCTCTGCTTGCCAGCATCGCCGAGTGTCCTCGGGCGTCTCGTAATTTGTGGCCGATCAGCGGGGCAGGAGGGATCGAAGATCGCAGGGGAGGGGCCCAAAAAGGGGCCCCATTGAGGCACTGAAGGTTCGCGAGAGGTGTCACTAAGGCCCCCTGAGGCCCCCAGAAGGGGCCCCTCGAGGCCCTCCAGTGAGTTGCTCCCCAGTGGGCAATGCCCGAGTTTGCATCAGCGCATCGCCCTGGCGTTGTCTTTGTTTTCGCGTCTGCACCTGCAGCCGGGACCGGCTCGAGCCGCAGCGGCGCCCAGTGCCAGCCGCGCGCAGCCATGCTGACCCCCTGCGATGAGGCCTTCGAGTCCACGGTCCTGGCGCAGGCGCGGAGGGTTCCCGCCGTGCTCGCCAGCGTGGCTGCCACGCCGCATCGTGCCGCTCGCCCACACCCCCCTCCCCCCCTCGAGGCAGAGTGAGCGGGAGGGGGGGAGAGAGGGAGTGAGTGAGCGGTAGGTTCGCGCCGCATTGACGAGGCGGCGACCCCGGCGCCGGCGCCGCGTCTTGCGGCCCCCCGCAAGGTTGAACGCCGCGAGTGGCCCGGACTCGCCGAAGTCGATCGGCCAGCGCTGTCGGATAGCCGCGATCGCTCCACGCCAAGCGGCCCACGCCGTGTTAGAAGTCAGCGCCGACGTCATCGCGACGCGAGCCCGCCACAGAGGGAGGGCAGCCCTCCCGAGGTTTGGACGACGCCAACCGTGTGCCAGAGCTTAGAGGAGGAAAAGGTACTCGTACTGCTATCCTTCGCCCGTCTTCCCCTTTTTCGGCCTCCTGGGAGGCCCTTGTCGCCACCGCTGGATTCGCATCGAAATGCTGGTCAGAACGCAGCCCAGGAGAGGTCCGGGGAGTAGCGGTATCGATACCTTTTGGTTTCCCCAAGACCAGTTCGATTCTCGAGCGGCGAATGTATCCATATCAACGCCTTCGCGGTCTTGATTCCGTGGAGCGGTCCCGCGGATACGCGGTCGCACGGATACGTTCCGCGCGGGGCATCCGCGAAACGCTTCGTATCCGCAGGGTCGCGGCCCGGGGGCCTGGCCCGCAAGGAAGCGGATATGGATATATCTGTCGCCCACGACGGATACGCCGCCGCGCGCGCTGGCACGTGCGGAAGCGTGCACCTAGCTGGTCTGGTCAGGCACGCCGCTGGTGTCGTCTAAGAGGTCAGCCGGCAGGGCCCCGAGCGCCTGGCGCTCGGGCGTTGTGTATTGGGGGGCGACACATGGGGAGGGTGAAGAAAACGGTGCACCCGTCGTGCTCTCAAGAGGCCCTCGAGGGAGCCGTTGGTGCCCCAAAGGTGCACGAAACAAGTGCACGTTTCTTCGCCTTCCCCACTGATCGCCATCCCATGAAGCAACGCCTAAGGCGCTCCTCGGCCTGGACGGCCACGGGGAGGAGGACTGCCGCTTCACCTTCGCGCAGGTGCTGCGGTGGGCCGCCGAGGTCGCGCAGCGCATCCGGCGCGAGGCCCCCGCGGGGTGCGGCGGCGGCTCGGGCGGCGCGCTGGTGCCCCTGCTGGTCGCCCTGCTGCTCGACAGGTCGAAGAGCTACAGCTGAACCCAGACGTCTGGCGTCTCGAACAAGTCGCGATGGAGACATTATCACATAAACATACACTTTCGGAGCTCCGCTCGGGCTTCTCGGTCCCCATCTACTCGGACCCAATGTGGGAGGCCCCTAAGCAAGGGGCTTCCAGGTCAAGGGTTCGAAGAGAAAGCGGCATGCACAGAGACTTGCGGCGTTCCGCGCGGGTTTCTTGGATCGGCGCCTGGGGGCCCCCCTGGTGGCGCCTCTGGCGCCGCCCGTGGCGCGCTCCGCGCGCCAGGGAGGGGGGTCAGCGCCGATCCAAGACATCCTCGCGGAGCTCCGACAGTTTATGTTTATGGCGTGTTGGGTCCTCTATGGTTTGTCCGTGTTCGGCCTCTCGGGACCCTCGCCAGCCCCCAGGATCTTCCCAAGACGGCCCAGGACGAAGAGGCGGCCCTATACAGGGGAGTTGTCCAGGCCTCCGGGGGCCCTCGCATCGAATTTGTTGGAGCGGCCAGGCGTCTTGGAAGTCACAGGCGATTTGCTGCCTTGATATGTCCGTTCTGAAACGCAACACGTACCCTGTTCAACACGTCAGTGTTTACACGTTGCGTTTGGCTCAACGTGTTGGCCTACGTTTTGGCGAACTTGTCGCGCCCAGAGAACGGTTTCAATCTCCGTGTTGAGCTCCGTGTCAACGTCAACACGCTACGTGTTGCGTGCTGCGTGCCGGGGCGGCTAAGCACAGGCGTGAGTTCTCGAAGGGTCCGCGCGGATCTCCCCCAAAGCACTCCCCAAAGCGCGGCCCCCGGCGCGCTCCGTGCGCCCGGGCAGAGGGGTGCGGGGAGGGGGGGTATACATCGCCGACTCAATACCATGGCGCGGACCTCCGAGAGTTCCTGCGCGTGCCCTGTTCCGGTGGTTCAGAGACGGGGTCCCGAGGGACGGTGTCCCAAGGACGAGGTGCCTCGAACAGCGTGAATCCATCCTTGGATCCCTTCCCATCCTAGTAGGACCTCATCCCTCAGGACCCCATCTCTGACCCACCGACTGTTCTTTTGGGCCTCTCCTGGTAGGGCGCCCCTGGTCCTCGCTGCCATCTTCGGGGCGTGGGGCGCGGGGGCGGCCGTAGCGGCGATTCCGAAGGAGTTCGGGGATCAAGGGCATCACCAGCACGCGCGCCGTCTTTCGAGCGGTGCGTGTCCCGCTCCCCCTCCCCCCGAATCGCGGGCCTGGCCTCCGCTCTGCGCGGTGTGGGTCCCTCTGGCGCGGCCTCCGCTCCATGCGTTGCGAATCCCCAGAGCCCCCCCCAGGATCGCCCACCCCCTTCCCCTTCGTCGTTGCCGTCGTCATTGTCGTCGTCGTCGTCGTCGTCGTCGTCGTCGTCGTCGTCGTCGTCGTCGTTCACTCGCGCTTCCAACTTGAGCAACCCTTCGACAGCAGCACGCTGATGGGGTCGAACGAGGACAGTGACGCGTCCGAGAGACTGCTTCCGTGGGTCGCAGTATTATCGTTCCTCGTTTTCTCCAGCCAGATTGCGCAAAGCCCCGGCTTACGCGGCCCCGACCGTCTCCCCCCCGTTGTGTCGTCTTCTTCTCCCCCGGCTGCTCCTGCGCCTTCCTGAACGGGGGCACGAAAACACTGTCGCCGCAACTAGGGCTGCCGCTCCTCTTGGATGCGCCGTCAGGAGACTGGGCCGCCGCGGCCTGTTATGTGAGAGCGTTCGTTACGGAAACTGCCCAGGAGGCTGCAGACTTTGGAGGACTCCTGATCGGGGCGGCGGTGGTGTCCATGGCTAAGCTTGAATGTGTGTTCCACCGGCTTTCAGACCCTGGACTCCTTACCCAAGGGTTCCTTAATCGGAGGATGCTAGAAGGGTTCGTTGGAAAAGGTTGCTTCCGCTAGGCCTGAGGGCCCCCCAGCCCGACCTGAGGCGCCCCAGCAGCCGTCGAAATCATTTTTCTTGAGCCAGACCATCCCGCCGTTCCCGATCCAATGCCCTAGCAGACCGCTCCGACCTCTTCTCCCCCGCCCAGAGGAGTTCCCCTCCGCGCGCATCGTTACCATGTGCGAGGACGCCGCGCTCGTGCTCACGGACGCTGGCGCAGCGCCGGAGCAGCTGCGGGGCCGCACCGTGCGGCTCGGCCCCAGGCCCCAGCACTTCTTAGAGCCACCGTGAGGGGGGGTCCGCCAGAGAGCCGAGGCTCTCGTAAAGATCGGAGCGGCCGGTTTGTATCCGTTGTCGGCCTCCAGGGGCCATCGTTGGGCCGCAGGATCGTCAGAAAACGGCTCGGGACGAACACCCGGTCCTACAGAGAAGTGTTCCAGACCTCTGGGGCCCCACGCATCGAAATTGAATCGGTCGGATGTCGTCGTGCGTTCTTCGCATGGTTTCGGGCCCTGGGGACCCTTTCTGATCGATTTGGCTCGAAAAACGACGCGGAAAGATCTTGTCTGGGGCTCTTGCCGTAATTGTTCACGACGTTGCATTTCTTTCGCGTTGTCGGACCTAAGAGGGGGGTGACAGCTGGCGGCGAGCCCAGGGGGCGAAGTGAGAGGAGGCAAGCCTTCTGAGTAGGCGACGGGGCTTCTCAGATCCCGGCTGTGCCTTCGAAGGGGGCTCAGAAATATATCTTCTCGGGAGGGGCTAGAACGAGGATGAATTCGTTCCAGAGCGTTCCAGAACGCTCTCAGAGCGGTCCAGAACGTTCTGAGAAGGCCGCGGCCCCCGAGACAGCTTTCAGAGCCGCCGGATCTCAGAGATTCTCGATGGATCCTCACCCGGATGTGTCCTCGTTTTGGCTTCGTCTTCTTCTCAGAAGGCCCGATGCCTGCTGGGTCCTCTGAGAAGGCCCGCCCTCTCTGCCTCTCCCTTTGGGCTCGCCCCCTAGACACGGACATGGGAGCGGCGTCATCTGCTGCGCGCGGCTGTTTTCAGCCCCGCCGCTGAGCGCCTTCCTCGACACGGTGGCGCACCTGGCGCCACGGAAGTGCCAGAAAGTCCAGCTGCGTGAGCGGATTCGCACACACCCCTTGACAAGTACACAACAGAAATACTACTATCATTCGCCTCTGACCCTGTCAAGAGAGTGTCCCGTCCTCTCCGCGTATCATTTTTACACCGGACTTCATTACTTGGTTTGTTCTTGTGCTTTCTCAGTTTGGTCGTTGCTGGTTCTTCCATAATGGGGCTCCCGCCGCAGCGCCGCACTCATTTCCGTTCTTCGCTCATGCACAATCGTGCTCCCGCTCCAGCGCTGGCCTCGTTCCCGCGCTTCCTGATGGCACTTGGCATTCGAAAGCGCCCACATCGGGCGGGCACGGTTGCGGAGGACATGGAGCTGGCATTCCGGACAGGCCCTGTCTTACGGGCCACTTACCCTCCAAGTCATCTGGTGCCATGCCACGGCTTGCAATTCCATGCTGTGTTGTGCACCGCTGTGCGATGCCATGCTTTGCGCTGCTATGCTTTATGATGCAATGCTTCGCTACGTAATGCCACGCCATGCTATGACATGCTTTGCTCTGCCGTGCGCCATGCTTTTCCATCCATCGCGTACCCTCTTGAGATCATTGCCCTGCTCGGCATCTGACTGTGCGAGGAGATCGGACATCTACGCCATGGTGTGGGATGGGAGGGAGGGCTAAGACGTCAGATGTGAAGCTATCGCACTTGGCTTGACGAACCCCCTCTTCATCCGACCGCCGCTCGTCGCCGTCGCGGCCGTCGTCGTCGTCGCCGCCGCCGCCGCCGCCGCCGTCGTCGTCGCCGTCATCGTCGTCGTCATGGGTTGGGCCCCAGGCCCCCGCCGCCGTCGCCGTCGCCGTCGTCGTCGTTGTCGTCGTCGCCGTCGTCGGTTGGGCCCCAGGCCGCCGCCGCCGCCGTCATCGTCATCGTTGTCGTCGTCGTCGTCGTCGTCGTCGTCGTGGTCGTGGTCCTCGTCGGGGGGTTCGAGGATTGCGATTTTGGGGCGAGCCTCTCGCCCTCCTCGGGGCCTCGGGGGGAGGGCGCGTCGCCGCTCCACGGCTGGAGCCCCGTGGAAGTGAGGTCCACAGTGCGCCGCCCACAGAGGGGACCGAGGGCACTCATACCTTCGAAGAGCAGCGAAGGCACAAACCTGATGTCTCGGAGGTCCGCGCGGATCTCTTGGATCGGCGCTGGGGACAGACCCCCGGCGGCGCCTCCGGCACCGCTCCTGGCGCGCTCCGCGCGCCAGGGAGGGGGGGGGCCCAAGCGCCGATCCAAGATGCACGCGCGGAGCTCCAAAAGTGCATGCTTATGCAGTTTCATGTTTATGCAGTTTCTTCCTCACTGCGTCGTACATTCAGATGTCAGACTTTTGGTTCTCACATCGTACATTTCAGATGTCTGGCCCCGTCGTGCTGTGCTTTGCCATGGGGAGCCTGGTCCTTTAAGATTGGGGGTCCCCAGCTCCATCGTGGCCAGTGTCGGTGTCGTCGCAGTGGCCGCCGTCGTTCTCCTCCAGCGACCAGGAGGAGGAGGGAGGCTCGACCTCTCGAGGCCTCCCCTTCTATTCTTGTCGGCGCGCACGGGGGGTAGTGGACGGGCTTCTTAGAAGCACCCCTGATTCTTCGAAGGCGCGGGCCTTGTCTGTAGATGTAGGGCCGGCGCCTTCTAAGAAGCAGCCCCTTTCTAAGAAGCCTTCCCCTCTCCTGCCCCGCTGTTCATTCAGTCGCCACTTCAGTTTCTGCTCGCCGTTTTCGTCCTTGCCCTCCTGCCGCCGAGGAGGGGCGGGAAGAGGAGGAGGACGGTTCCGTGTCAATTTTGGCTCAAGCCTCAAGCCACTTGGGTTCTAGGAGCGCCCGGTGAGCGCTCCGTGTTCCCACACACGTCTTTAACAGTTTTTGTTCGCTTCCAAGCTATCGTCCACCCGACGATGGCACACATATTGATCTTTGCGACGGCACCTTCGCTCGCTTCCGATGTGGGCGCCGAGATGCAGCTCATGCAGACTTTTGCGCCCGGGCTGAACGGTTCAGAGGTGTCAGGTATGTAGACTGAAGATTTCACCCCCTGCTTGGTTTTCCACGTCGTAACATTTAATCGGATCGCCATGTTACGCACTGGTAGTTGCATGTCAACGACCCTTCCTGCCTGCGTCGATGGTTCTATGGGGTCCTTCATAGTCAGCTCATTGTCCGACGGAAGCGCTTCCAGAGACAAATCCGACAACAATGGACATCTTGGTGGATGGCAGCATCGTCGCGACAGTTTTCAATGATGGTGTCAGTGCATTGGAATCCATCAAGTTTGGATCTACACGTCGTGTCTACCAGCTCGGTTTCTGAACGGTACTACCAGATTATGATATTTCAGATGATGTTCGAGGCCGCCCTTGCTGGTTACGTCGAGTTGGGTGATGGCGGTTATTGTGCGCAGCGGGCGTCAAGCATCAACGGTGGGAACACATTGCAGCCTGGCGACACAGTGCAAGATTGTGTGGAGGAGTGCACTTCGTCATCCTGCTATGCCTTTGGTTTCTCGGCAGGGCAGACCAGGACAGACCAGCCGCAGTGCGCGTTGTGGCCATCAAGCGTGCGCACGAGCGAGCATCATCTGCCAGAGTGTCTGGAATTGGAGGACCTGCACCAAGGAGAGCTCAACGACGGCACCAACGCCAGCGCCTACCTTCCACCAGTAGGCATTTCAATTTCGAATGGGTGGTGGAGCTCGGACCTATATGGAACGGCTGCTACTGGGGGTTGCTCGGACGAGACTGGCGAGGTTGTCTTTGTGTCTGATGTTGTCGTTGGTTGCGGCGCCAGTTGGGCTATCCTTGGCATAATTGATGCGGAATTTGCTTTGGTGTTGGGCGCGAATTTCGCCAGGATAGTACGGAGGCAGGAGCTGTCGGTCTGACTTACGACCTGTGTGCAAATTGTCTTGGTGCAGGCGATGTCTACGCGACGTAAAAATCGAGCGAGGGGGTTGAAATTGCAACACGGCTGGAGCAGACGATTTGTGGGCGTGAGGCACAGATGGGAGTGGGGTTAGTTATCATGCTGGAACTTGCGGAGGCTTCAACAAAGCAGTTGGTGGAAGAGACCATGGGAGTTGGATGACTTTCCAGCAGGACGAGAGTCAAGAAGTGAACTACGAGACGAAAGATAGCGGCAATGGTGGTGTTCTTTGTTGTAGCAGCAGTCCGACCCCGCACCCGACGCCTTATTCGACGGATAGCTTAAGGGAGGTTATTGGGGGCTGTTCTGACGAGACTGACGAGGTCGTCTTTGTGGCTGATATTGTCGTGGGTTGCGACGCCAGTTGGGTCACCCATGGCATAGCTCATGCGGAATTTGCTTGTGGTGTTGGGCATGAAATTTGCCAGGATAGCACGGAGGCAGGAGGTCTCGGTCTGACTTGCGACTTGCGTGTAAAATTCTGTTGGTTCCTGTGATTTCTATGCGACTTAAGAGTCGAGCGGAGGGGGTTGGAATGGCAACGCGGCTGGAGCAGACGGCTCCTGGGCTTGAGGCAAAGATGGGAGCGGTCTTGGTCTTCGAGCTTACACTATCGGAGCTTTCAACAAAGCAATTGGTGGAAGAGACCATGGGCGCTGGACGACTTTAAAGCAGGACGAGAGTCAATAACTTAATTGCGTGACGAAAAGTAGCGGCAATGGTGTTGCTCTTTGTTGTAGCAGCAGTCCAAGTAGCACGACCACCAAGACGACCACCACAACGCTCATCAGGACGGCCACGGCGACCACCGAGACAGGCACGAGCTCCGCCACGTTAGGCACCACAGCCACCACCGAGACAGGCACGAGCTCCGCCATGCCCAGCACCGCAGTCACAGCCACCACAGGGACAGGCACGAGTTCCGCCACGTCAAGCACCACACCCACCATTGACATGGTGCTAACAGCAATGACCGTATTGGAGAGTCCAGTATTGGCAGGATCACAGGAGCTGGTGGTGGAGTCCAGGGAAGGCTTTTCTGTATGGGGGCACGATCGTGATCGGTGGTGGCGGCAATTCGGAGACGCGTGATGTTGCGAGCTTTGCAAGAGCGTGTTCTACCGCTGCTGGCGGAAAACCGGGGTGGGTCACTACCGGTTCGAACCCCTCCCCCCCCCCCCTCCGGGAAACCGCGGGGGGGCACTGCCGTTCGAACCCCATCCCCCCCC